AAAAACCAACCAACTGCCAAATTTCGGCGAAATGTCATCTGTTCTCTCACAAGAGAAAAATATTCCAAATAGTACGCGAACAGAAAATTTGCAGAAACTTGCAAGTTAGACGAACAGCTGATATAATTTTTGTTTACACTCAAAAGTGTAAAATTTAAAACATACGAAAAGTCATCACAAAGTGTTATACTGACACAGTTTATTGATTAAACAAATAACTACTTATTTCTTACAAGTTTAATTAGTCGCATTTTGTAATTTTTAACTTCCAAACCATCAAATTCAATTTTGTGATTTGCGTAAATGCCAACCAGCTGTTTTTGATCAGCTGTTTTCCTGTTGGCAAATTGCTGTTGGCAAAAATTTTTCCATCAGAAACCAGCAGCTTCCCCTCAAAATGAAATGTCACTTTGCTCTCTCAATTTCCCCTGCTTTGCAAGTTTTTTGCGTACGCGAACGCAAAAACTTGTAAGTTTTGGTTAAACATGAACAATTAACAGCTACGCGAACGCACCTATTAACAACCAAAATTTGGAGGTTATGTTGAAGTTGACAGAATTTACAATTTTTTTTACTAGAAAGCGATCCCGTACTTTTCAATGTTACTTTCTCGCTCTGAGCGAACTTTTATTTTTTGACAGTTTTACTAGTTTTACTAGTTTTAGTCCGAGGAATACGGGATTGCACCTAATATTTTTCTGATCATTTGAGACAACATGTTGGTGTGTACCTTGGAGTGTTGAATTTGACGGCTAATGTATCAAGCCGTTCAGAAGACGCATAACGATCATTGATTTTGTTAGCAACGGTTGGGCTTAACTGCTGCGCCTTCTGAACCTACCAATTAGCTGTTAAATTCAACTAAAGGTACACTTGGCGTTGTCTCAAACTATCAGAAAACTATTACGATCATCTGACACGCATCTGTTGTGTTGATCAGAAATACACAACAACGTGTTCAAAAGGTGCAATCGCGTCCAATTACTTGTAACTTTGCGTTTATACTTTCAAAAAATTTCCTTCAATTTGCCTACACGTATGAGCAAATCGACAATCATCAAAAACACAATTTCCTGCACACAAAACACTATGATAAGCTCTTGAAATTGAAAAATTGCCCATCGTCTTGAAAGCAAAATTTGTGAGTGTATTGTCAAAAAAGTTTTGAGTATATGCAAATTCAAGGCACATAAATACAGGTAGAAGCCAAAATGACGTTGCTCTCATGAGAACCAAACCTTTAAACTTCAACTTGATTTTATTTTATTTCCTATATTTCGTTACGCTTAAAATGTCATGTCGTTTTTTTTTTTTNCACTAATTTTTTTAACGTGCCTCAATGCCCTCGGCGTAAGGAGCGTTGGGAAAGCAGCTGTGGGGTAGAGCTGCAGCGAAATGCCTTGCTGTGCGTTAAGCATTTTAAAGCAGCAGATTTCATAAATGCACCAGGAGGTACAGGAAAGGCACGTTTGATGCCAAGTGCTCTTCCTATGAACCTTATGCCGGAAAGTCCTTCCAACAAAACTGCAACTCATAAATCAAGTTGTGAAAGCTTAATAAATGATCGCGCTTCACAAACTGAGTAAGCATTGTTAAAACGCGATATATTTATAGAATTATTTTTAATTTAAGTCGTTTAGTGGAGACTTAGAACAATCCAGCTATAAACTCGAAATTCTGTTGCTGAAGTCAAGAATTGAAAATCTGGAGGGTGAAAACTCAGCACTCAAGACAGAGTACTATAAATATAAACTTTCAATGTATAAAAAAATAGAAAAGAACATACAAATTAACAAATTTTAACTAAAGAAAATAAATAAATAAATACAAAACTTCAAATTTACTTAAAAACGTCAACCAGCGAAATGTAATTTTTTTATTTTTCCTTACACGCTCATTTTTATTTTTACTCTCCCGAAAACTTTGACTTTTGTAGGTTTGATGTCAATTTGGCTTCTACCTGTTTTTATTGTACCATGATGCAAATTTAAACCAATTTTTTTAACATATAAACCTATGTTAACTGTGTTGATTAATAGGGCTATTTGTTGCAATCATGTCAATCTTCAGGATCTTCATTAAGGCACCGGCCTCATATTTCACTCGTCGTGACCTCCTAGCGTTCATTTTAGAGTCATTGAGTCTTCAAGGAAAATTTATCGATTAGTTTCCATCCCACATTTAAAATGCCATATAAACGCATTTGTTTAACTAATAAATAATAATGTGTATATATTTATATCTTTATTGATTTTATATTTTGCACAGTGACTCATTATTTTTGGGCCATTTTATTACTTTCTAATATTCATTTCAATGCATTTTTAATGTGTATAGGTATATGCTTACACATACTTTTAATTAAACAATTAAACATTTAATAATTCAACTGACATTTGTATGTATGTTTACACGATTTTTCTGGAAAAAATTCACTACTACAATAGAGTTTTTGTTGCGGTTTTGAAGGTTATGCATTTCAACTTTTTCTATTGAAAACAAAACGCACTTTTCTCAAAGAATGTTTGCAGTTTATCAAAAGAAAGAAATTCTAATAATTTTTTTCGCTAAAAATATCTGGCAAATTGGCATTACTGACGCATTTAATAATTTGCATATATAATTTACGTACATACATTCATAATTGTTGAATATGGAGCTTAAATTGCAAAAATGGTCATTGTAAATACATACATAAATACATATATCGAATTTAAATTGAAACTATTTTCATTAAAAAAACATGACAATTAAATTTTCCAATAGCGTCCGTTATTATTGAATGCCCCTATTGGACTTGGTTAGCTGGAATTATGTGGAAGCAGGGAATAAAGGTTTCGCAGCATGTTTTTCTCTTTTTATTATTTTATTTTGTTGATTTTGAATTTTTTTGCTTAAATGCTTGAATTCAATGTACGCATATTTTTGTGAGTGTATTTGTGTCTTTGTAGTCGTTTATTGTTTATTGGAAAAAGTTGCTTGGAAGGGTATCAGCTGTTAACACATTTAAATGCCTAATAACTTTCACTTAATTCATTTAAGTACTTAATTATGCATTTTACTGAGGGAATTTTAATGTTTTTGTTTTAATTTTATTTTCTTGAATTATCTCGTTTTCATTATGAATTTTTCGCCCTACCAAATTCTTGTGTCTGCCTGTTGCGCTAACTGCTTGTTTTCCGCACAGGGTTTTGCCTTACCTAGAAATATATGCAGTATGTTTGTTTGTATTTGCTTACAATTTTGATAAATTTTTTTGCTAATTTTTACTTGTTAATTGAATCGAATTTCCTTGGGTTCTTGGTAAAATTCTTCCGCTTCCAACAAAATTCCATTTCCGTACTAACGCGTTGCCAACTGCAGTTCGCTTGCTTGTGCCGTACTGCCAACTGGCAATTGCTAGGCAGTGACTAGCCATGGGTAATAGCGTAATTTTTATGGCGCTAGCTCAATAGCTCAGTGCGGTGTACTGGTTTGAACACGGCGCCATCTGAGCATCACCACTGTACCCATCNACTCGTCGTGACCTCCTAGCGTTCATTTTAGAGTCATTGAGTCTTCAAGGAAAATTTATCGATTAGTTTCCATCCCACATTTAAAATGCCATATAAACGCATTTGTTTAACTAATAAATAATAATGTGTATATATTTATATCTTTATTGATTTTATATTTTGCACAGTGACTCATTATTTTTGGGCCANCGTGTCATACACAATACAGTTGTGTCATGTCTATTATTTCTTTATCTTTCGGCGTAAAACAACGCTTGTACCGCCAACCGAATTTAATTGCTAGGATTGTAGTAAATGCCACGATATTTTCATAATTCTTAAGTAAAAGCTTTAAATTTGCCAAGATACATAAGTTTCTGGCGTTCTCACCTCTCAAAAGCAAAAACAAACAACATGTTATTTTTCAAAGAATTAAGACGAATTTTGTGTGTGTTTCATGTGTTTCTTGGTGTTAATGGTGCTAGCGCTTTTCATTTATTGGCGTTGGTGCGGCAACTCCGGCTACGGTGTTAACGCAATGGCGCCGCGCAGCGCATTGTTACCCATGTCTAGCAGTGACGTCTGCATTTTTTCTCCACTAGGCAACAACCGCGTTTCTTGACCTCGCTAACTTTTTAGTTTATACCCGCCTCTCTGTGCATCGTATTTGTTTTTAAGTCCGATATCTTATTAGGTTTCTGTAAAGCGTGTATGTATTGGTCTAATTTTACTATATGTACGTGAAAATTTAAACGCATTCTCCTCAACATGCTTTACTTGACTGCACACTATATTGTATGTTGTTCATGGTATGTGCTTAATTTTAAGCTTAATTGGTAAATGGATTCTAATAATTTCTCCGCAGCTGTCTGTGTATTTTTTTTTATTTGTGTCTGATGTCGATTTATTTTATTTTGTTGTTTTGCTTTAGACTGGTAAGTCTGTATACCTTGTTTACTTTGGAATCCCTAAAACAAGCTTAAATCTAAATGTTTTTCTTGTTGTTTTCAATGTTTTTGTTTTTAAATTTATTTGTTTTAGTTATTTTCTAACATTATTATCTGTTTGCAATTATTCTGTTAATATATTTGTTTCTTTCATTCCTTTGTGTTACATTTTCATGTTTATGCTATTATTTATATTTTGTTTTTAATTTTTAGTTCTTGGGACAATAGTCCTTTACACAAATTTTACTACGTCCTTTAATATGTTTTTTTTTTATTATTTATACATATATATATCGGCTACACTACAGTACATGTACATATGTATGTATGTATGTATGGAATTTGGTTGTTGTTAATTGATTAGGTATGTTTTGCTACATAAGTTTGTATGTTGCACATATATGTACATACCCACGTATATGTACATATATGAATATGTATTTATGCATATTATACTTCACTATGTATTGTATATTTCAAGTATGTATGTTTGTATATGTTTGCAAGAGTATGTCTGTTGTATAATTTAATTTTTTCCATAATTTTGATACATTTTTAGCTCTCATCGAATTGGACCAAAACGGCCTTCATTTTGTGTGTGGCGCTCGCAAGTTGCAAAAAATTTGATGGAAATCTGACTAAAAGTAATCTTAAATGGCACTGAAAACATGCTCTGCTTCTAATATTAATTGTCAATCGAGCATCTATACATGCGCTTTGAAAAAGTAAAAAAAATAAATTTTATTTATTTTGTCAAACTCTGGATGCAGCCTAATGTGTGTTTAACCGACATGGCGCCTAAATGTATGTAATGGATCACTCGTTTCCACTTTGATGCTTCCGGCTTATTTTACGCTTTCCATCCGGCGCCTTAAAGTATGCAGCACTCAAGCGGCCGCATTCGGCCGGCTACTTGCTGGGCGCTTCTGCGCGCCTGGTGCATCGAGCTGGTTGCACCGCGCGTGCATCGGTCGCCCTAAAGGCGCAAACACAAGCAAAGCGACACGGCGACAAGATTTTTTAAATTTTGCAAAACTATGCGTTTTAATGAACCCAGAGTGAAAATGAAATAAAAATAAAATAAAAAAACAATTTCTGTATTTTTCTTTCTTCTATATTGTTTTCTTTGTATTTTTACATGTAAGCACGTTTAATTAAATTTTTATATGTATGTTTGTATGTTTATTACTGCAATAATGTGTGCGTGTGTGTATTTGGTACAATATTTTAGAAGTTAGTTTATTTTTTGTTTAATTTTTATGCGTACATGTATGTATTTACAAAATAATAATTAAATATAATAAAAAATTATATAAACATAATGACATAGCAAAATAGGATTGCCAGTGTGCAAGGAAAAATTAAAAATATTTATATTTAAATAAATTAGCGTTTGTACGCGCTTTTTTGTTTTAAGGTTGCAAATTTTCAATTTTCTTTAACCTATACGTAATACATACATAATTAAATTATAAGTTTGGTGAAATTTCATTTCCATAAACAAACAAAAATTATTTTATAAACAAATCAATGTTTCAACGGCTAACTTATGTATTTAAATGTTTGCATTAAATTTTAATCAATTTCAAAAATTATGCTTACAGAAGTAAAGAAGAAAATTTGTAAAATTTATGTGGTATCTATTTTTGTATACACGAGTATGGTTATGCACTTAAATTTTTTTATATGTAAATGTGGTAGCGGAAGTGTTTAAATATTTTATATTTAGCACTTGAGACACCAAAAATATTGAGAGCTTCAGAGGAGAATATGTATGTATGTATATATTTTTTTTAAATTTAATCTAAATATAACTCGAAAAATTTAAACGAATAATTACAACTATAAGAAGTACATACATACTTATATAATACATATGAACAGCCGCTCACAATATGCATACAATTATATTCTTTGTTGTATTTGTAAAAATAATAATTAAGATCAAAGAATAAATGTATCGCTGCAACGAAACTTCTATTTCTGAATTTTTCAATGAGTTAAGCGTACATTTTCGAAGAAATGTACCACCTTTTAAAATCACTCAAACCAAAATAAGTGGACATTAGATTGGCTAGTGGCGTAGCATATTAGTAACGATGCAGGCAGAATTTTTTAAATCCAAATCTTTCGATCATATATATATTTAAAAATAATTGTCTTTCTGCCATAAAAACGCCAATGGATTTATTTTGGTAGAAATTAAATTTCTTAGAAAAAATTTGCAAAATATTTTTTTTTAAGAATCTTGGCGGAAGTTGTTAAAAAATATTACGTTTTTCTATAAATATTTAAATTTTGTGTAACAAATTTTTAAGAAGGTAAATTTTCTACAGAAAAATTATTTTTTAACGAAAGGATGCTCTCATAAAAATGTAACATTTAACAAAATAAGAATGAATTGAAAAAATTACTTCTATCAAAAAATTGAATGCTTTTGATAAAGAACTCGTTTTTTTTTTACCTTTATCAACTATAAATCGTTTAAGTATTTTTGTCAAAGCAATTAATTTAAATTTTTATTTTTTGTTTGTTAAATATTCAAAATTTTTATGAGCGCATATTTCCGTTGAAAATTAAAATTTCTGTAAAAAATTTACCGTTTCTTAAAAAATGTAATCGGTAAACATTTTTTTACGTTGAAGCAAAGCTTTTTTTCAATGAACTATGTTGTAAAATTTTTACAAAATTTTTATGAGCGCATATTTCCGTTGAAAATTAAAATTTCTGTAAAAAATTTACCGTTTCTTAAAAAATGTAATCGGTAAACATTTTTTTACGTTGAAGCAAAGCTTTTTTTCAATGAACTATGTTGTAAAATTTTTACAAAATTTTTATGAGCGCATATTTCCGTTGAAAATTAAAATTTCTGTAAAAAATTTACCGTTTCTTAAAAAATGTAATCGGTAAACATTTTTTTACGTTGAAGCAAAGCTTTTTTTCAATGAATTATGTTGTAAAATTTTTACAAAAAAAATTTAATCTTAACCAAATAGTTTGTTTGCTGAGGAATTTTGAAAATTTTTAGTAGAAATATTTTTTTGTTTATAAGTTTGCAGAAATAGTTTTTTTTTTCGTTTGTAATTTACTTAGTTTTTGCTGTAAAAATATTTTTTTTTGTTACTGTAATATTTTGTGCTTATTTGCTGCTTTTTTGATATTTGTTACTGCTACACATATTTTTTTCTCTGATTTTGAATTCTTGTTGTTTTGCTTTATTTTACTACGTCATTTAAATTTTGATTTTCAATTTATCGTTCGAAGACTTTTTTGCTTGCGTAAATTTGCAACAAAAGAAATGGAAAATATTAAAAATGGTATAGAATTATTTTTATGCAAAAATAAAAAAAGAGCTAAAAGTAGAATTCTGAAACTTTAATTTGATTAAAAAATTTTTGCAAAAAATCTTTCATACAATTTTAAAGCTAATTCCGAATGCACTAATTTTGGAAGATTTTTTGGGAATTTTCAAAATTAAAAAAAAAATTTAACTAGTTTACAATTTGGAGAAAATTATAAAGTGAAATCTTTCAGAAATGCTGTACTATTTGAAGCCAATTTACAATCTTTAGCAATAAAATTTAAATAAACAAACAATGTACTAATCAATTTTGCTGATTTATTTTTAGGCTAACATTTTGTTATGAATAAAAAATCTTTATTTTTAAATAAATTTTCTATTTGTTTCCGACAAAAAAAACTAATCATTTTATTCAAAACGGTATGGTAAGTGTCGCATTGTTGTGTGTCGTCAACTTTAAACGGCTAAAAATATATTAAGGGGATTCGCACGGTACCATAAAATTCATATGTATTATGAATTTTTACAGCGGTAAAAACTATGTAGTTGTATGTGGTTTCCAGTTCTCGAAACATTCATTTAACCTTTTAAAGTTTATGACACACAACAGTAACACACGATGCCGTTGTGAATACCCCATTTGTTTAAGAGGTTCTAGAAAAGATGTAACAATTTTTAAGTTTTAAACATAAATATTTTCTGCAAAAAAATTTTAAAAATTTATTTTAATTTTTCAAAAAAAATATTGAAATTGCCAAGAAAATTTAAAATTATTTTATCTAAAATTTATAATATTGCTTCGGAAAATTTGAGCAATTGTTTGCGCAAACTGAAAATGACTTCTTTGGCGTTCTTTCAATTTTTAGGTATATATTTTTTCTAATATAAATTGCCCTTGAACTCAAAAGGATTTTTGTCGGTAAGCCTGTATGTAAATTGTTCTTTTCGAAGATGCATGTAATAGATTGTGTAAACTGAATATTATTCTTTTTGGCATTTTTTTTAGCTTAAAAAATTTTATTTAAAATATTTGGATAATGAATTTGTTTCATTTACGGGGTTTATTACTTTTAATTTTATGCAAATTTCCAACTAAAGCATTTTCGAAAACTAAATTTTTTATCAAAACATCGAGTTTGCAAAGTGTAAACATGTATTTTCTTGAACGTAATAGTTTTTTGGATGGCATGTTTTTCATGCAACAAAAAAAAAAAAAAAAATGGTTCCCAATGTTTGAAAATGTCTTACAATTGCAATAAATCATTGTATGCCTGCAATAATATGCATTTACCAAAAATAATAATTAATTCAAAAGCAGCAATAGTGAAAAAGCACGAAATAGCGAAACTTGTTTGCACAAGTTTATCAGCTATGCAGTTCAAGCATATACAAATAATTCTACAGTAGAATATTTTTGCAAAAAAATATTTCACAAAAACTTCAAACAAAATTTGCGTAAAAATTGCAGATTTTTGCAACAAATTAAAAAAAAATTGGCATTCACTCGATTTCTTGTAAATCTTGTTTTTTTTTACTTATTTTTGACTGTTGGTTTATTGTAATTTTTTCAAGTTTTGTAAATTCTTTAAACGCTCACTGCCTACAACTAAACTGACTATTTTGTGATAATTGAATTTTTTAGTTATCTTTTTTTTCCAAAAAGTATTATTTTCTTTTTCTTTTAGTACGCCTGGTCCCTTGTTTTTGTTGTTATAACTGCAGCTATTTCACTAGGTTATTTCTTACATGGTACTTGGTGGCTACGCGCCATTTTCATTAAAATAGCTAAATATTTGTTTTGTATGCTCTGTGATTTACTGTTTTTTGGTTAAATTTCAAATTTTACTTCGCAGCGTCATTAATTTTCAATAATGCTACATTATAATTTTCACTTACTACTTTTTGTAGGATTTTTTGTTTTAGACATGCATATTTCTTGCTGCTTACAATAATAGTTCAAGCATTGAATCTCGCACTCAGCGTCTCCAGTATAAGTTAATAAGGAAAAGTAATATATTTTTTTTTTTTATAAATATTTTAAATATACGAGTACATACATATACGCTAGTCACTATATAATAACAAAAAAAGCCGCGAGCAGTATACTGGCAAAAAAGCCACACATCGATTTAAGCTTACACATACAAAGGCGTAAATCAGAAAGAGTAGTGGAAAATAAATGTAAAATAAGTCACTTAAATAATTTCTCTTATAAATAATTAATGCAAATAAAAATTACTGCTGTAGAAGGCCCTAATGACTTTTCGCACTATTTAATTTCAATAGCGCATAGCATTGAAATCCCCATGTAGCACCCTATATGTATGCCATGCCTAAAATGTTTTGAACCTCAAATACAATACTATTTACTTGTTTTCTCTTTGTTTTTTTTAACTTCAGTGATTTTTTTTGTTGCTAAACGCACTTAACCTCACTTGTAACTGCAGTGGTGGCGCGCTTTGCATTCACTTACTGTCCTTTTTCTCCTTGCGTGCATTCATCACACTCATTGCAGCCCGCTTAGCCGTTCACGACAATGTAGTCCTGCTTGTTGGGCATCTTCAGCAGTCGCCTCGTGCGAAACTCATACGCGCGCCGACAGAACATCACCAGTTCGGGATTGGTGTTGTCAGGCACCGTGCGTATGCTATAACAACTGGATCGTTTCGGCACAATGGAGACTTCCTCTTCGATATCTTCTTCGGCAGCACGCAAGCGACGGCGATATCTGTATATAGAATATAATAAAAAAAAGGTTATATTAGTCCGCCTCAAGCGCTGAGTGGCGCACTTTCGCCAGCTCACCTGCAATACTCGCTAAAAGTGAGCACGTAACACTTGTCCTCAATGCAAGCAACGGAGTTGTGATCGCGATGTCTGGACGCGTATACCTCGTCGGGACTGTCGTTGGGCTGGCGGCCCTGTTCGGTATGTTCGGGGCGGTAGTACCACAGCAAAGAGATCATCATTTCGCCTGCAATACAAAAAAAAAATTTTGTTAACGCGTTGGGTTCACGCCCAGCCCAAAATTTAGTTAAAATAGTTGATGAACTCACCATCCTCGGGGTTCTCCCAGATATGCGCCACTTTCGCCACATACGGCAAGTCATTGTCCTCGTTCGCTTTGAGCAGCACGCAGTCACGCGTGCGTATTATGTCGCCCTCCGAGTGCCGCATGGCGGGATAACAGGTGCGAATGACCAGTGGATCGTCGCTCTGTAAGCATAGAAATACGTATTTGAAAAGAAAATTCATTTTACTACCCTCAACCAACACTCAGCACTTACATTCAAGAATACCGCGCCCTGGAATGGTTCACCCTCCCACGTCCACCCGTTATTCCATTTTGGCACCACATCGACGCGCGTCGCTGGCGGCAGTCGATCGTCCAATTCGAACGAGACCGTGGAATGTTTCACCTTCTGCCGCTTGCGGCTACCAAATTTGGAGCGTGAACGCGTGCGCTTGGCGCCGTGATGTGGCTGGCAAACAATGCGCGGCATCGGCGGCATCGGCGGCACTGGCGGCAAGAACACTTGTGCATTGGAATGTTTCTCGAGGGGCTGCGCATAGTGTTGCTGTTGCTGTTGCTGCTGTTCTACTTTGTCGTATAACGTGCACGCTGACATCTCTTCGTCCGCTGCTTCTACTTCGAATTGTGCTTGTCGGTCGGCTAGTTCGAGCACCGCATCTTCAGCGCTGCATTTGTCATACTCATTGTTATTGGTTTCCAAACCGAGCTGTTCTGTCACAGCCATCTGCGCAGCAGGCGTGTCAAATTCACTGGCTTGTTGTCTTGCTTTCACGTTGGCTTTTTTCTTGCTTGCGCCCTGTCTTCTTGGCTTCTTCGTCTTAGCGGTTTTTCGCTTAGCCGGCGTACGCTTGGATTTGTTCGCGGATTTGCTGGTGGAACCGGAGCTGTTAACAATCCCTGTTAGCTCGTCCTGCTCTGCTGCTGTGTACTGGGACAAATCCAAAGGTGTCTTGGACACTATTTCGTATGCTTCGGACGCAGATGCTGCTACTGCTGAGGTAGTTTTCGTGGCATACGCCACCGCAAGCGTGTATTCGACATCAGTAACTTCGCATGCAGCGCTGGATGCATCAGCGCTCTTGATAGGTTTCTTCGTTTCAGACTTTGAGCGTTTTTCAGCACTCGCTTTCTTCTCTTTCTTCGGCTTGCGCCCAGATGCCGACTTATCCATGAGTGGTTCCGTGTCAGTTGCATCACAGCTCGCGTACGTATTCAACGCGCCGCTGCAACGTGACGTTTCAGGTTCTGAGAAGTAACCACGCGCCACCGAGTCGATTGTTTCGAGCAGGTGCAGTGGTATACAGGTTTTACGTGGCACCTTGCCACGTTTGGGCGAAGGTTTAGGTGTGATCCTGAGTGTGCTCATGCTGCTACTGCTATTGCTATTACTGTTGCTATTACTGTTACTATTGCTGTTGCAGTTACCGCTGCTGCTGCTGCTGAGACTACTGCTCTCCGACAGCAGCATGCGCAAGCTTGGCATTTCCGGCTGTGTTACTTCGCTGAATTCGCTTTCGGTCTGGTCCGGTTCGTCCACCAAGTCGACGATCTCCTCAACGCTCGGCTCGATTTCCTCCTGTTTTATGCCTCTTGCGATCATCGATTTCTTCAGCAACTTCCTGCGTTGCATGCGCTCTTGCTTGGCTGCCGCGCGGCGCTTCTCCAACAATTCCTGCTTGCGGCGCTCCAGCGCTTGTAGCTTCTTCTTGCGCAGCTTCAGCTGCTTCTTCTGTTGATCGGTGAGCACTAGCTGACGTCGTCGTATCGTACCGCCGACACTGCCTACCTTGCCCGCTTGTCGTATTTGTAGCTTGCTATAGCGACCCCGTTTGTCCAGCTTGCGCCCGCTGAGGCACAAGTAAGTGCGTGGTTCGGTTTGTTTGATGAGACTTTTGTAGCCATTTGGAGACGATTTCTTGCACTGTTGCTGAATTTTGGGTAGGTTAAGTATCTTAAGGCGTGACTTTTGGCCACTGCCGCCCGATGTGGATGTGGTCGGGCTGTGGCAGAGATCGAGCACATCGTCGTCTGAGGTCGTGGAGAGGTCAATGTCGCATTGTATAATTGGTGGCTGCTGCCAGCTGGGCAAGAGGCGCATGCGACCTGTGGAGGTAGGTGAGGAAATGGAAGCTTTGAAAATGACTCAGTTTGAAAAGTGAAAATTCGACTTACCTAACGGTTTTAGTGTCGCATTAGCAGCGGCATCATTTACGACAGCCGCCACTTCTTCGCAGGCCGAAGTTAGAGGCTCTGCTTTAATAAGCTTCAACTCGGCTTTCTCGCCGTCTCTGTCATGACTGTAGCTGGATTCTTGCTGTTGTTGCAGCTGCAACACTGCGCTCAGCAGCGGCTCTTCGTCTTCCAGCTTAATTTTTTCCGCCTTTATTTCCGTCTTAATCAGAAAGGGTGTCTGCAGTGGCGACTGTAATACTGCCGTGCCCGTCATCCCTGGAAAGCACTCGCTTAGCGTCGCTGGCACTTGTGGTGAAGGACTGGGTGTGATGGCAGCCAACAGCTGCTCAGGCTGCAACACAGTCAACTGTGCCTGCGCCTGATGCTGCTGCTGTTTTTGCTGCTGAGTTTGTTGAGCTTGCAGCTGCTGCTGCTGTTGGGACTGCTTCACCACACTTGACTGCTGTGGCAGTGTACGCACTTGTATTAATGGCGTCGATGGCACCTGCGAACTGCTCTGCGTCTGCGCTGCCACGCTAGCGGCCGCACCTGCGTACACCATTTCACGCGCCATCGTTTTGCCAATGCGCGCCTTGCGTCCCACGAACGGCAGCGCGGCAGAGTTGGCTGTGCTGCTGGTGGAGTTAGCACTGACGCTACCACCGTTGCGATTACCGCCGTTGGTTGTTGCTGCCGAGGTCGGCGTTGAGGGCGGTGGTGTCACCGTCGCGGCTGTTGTCAAGTCGTAGGCTTCTAGTATTGGCTGTGCTGCGTTCGTTCGATTGCCGATGGCGGCAAATCGCGCTATTGGTCGTTGTCGAATACTCTCGTCCTCCACCAACTTATTATCTCTTTTTTTGCCGCATTCAAAGTGCAGCTTCGCGTTAGCCTCTTCAATAGTCGCCGGCAGCGACGCCGACGACAACTCGTGTTCGGTAAGGGTGTCTAACAACTTCTCGTCGTTGGTGGTGTAGCTCTCGGGCGGTGTCGGCGGCTGTACTACGCTCTCCTCGTACTGGCTTTTGTTATCCGAGTCTTCTAGCTTCAGCTCGGATTTCACCGCCTGCAGCAGATCTAAATGCTGCTGCGACTGTTGCTTGCCAAAGAGCAGCAGCTCGTCGATTTGGGTTGGCGTAGTTGCCGTGGCCGTGAGCGCTACAGCTGTTGCTGTTATTGGCGCGCTAGTGATTGTTGCTGTTGTTGTCAATGTTGTCGTCGCCGTAGTCGTCGATTTTTTAACTGGGCCTCTACTGGTAGTCAATGAATTGTTCATCGAGCTGCTGCTGTTGTGCTGGCTGTTCGTCGTAATCGAACTCTTGTTGCTGTCGCTGCTGCTGTTGATTTCCCTGCTGCTGCTGTTGTTGTTGCTGCCATTCATCAGCATATTGCTGCTGTTGTTGCTCAAATGACTCATCGCTGAACAGCTGTTGCTGTTGTTGCTGAACGAGCTGCTGTTGCCGATGCTGTTGCTGTTGCTGACGTTGTTGCTACCAATATGAGGCCCAGTATGGACGTTTTTTGGACACGATTGTTGCATGGGACACGGACACTGTGGTGGATATTCTGTATAGAGATGGAAGAGAGAAAATGAGTGCTTAGGTGAGTAAGAGTTTTGAGTCTAGAAAATTCAAAAACCAATGATTTTTGAGCCCCTAACCCTATTTACCCCAGTTATGTACTACTACCACACAGGTGAGAACCATACTTTTCCTTACCCATATACGGTCCCTGTATGCTGCGCGTATAACACTGACCCGCCGCGCTGCCGCCCGGGCTATAGCCAGTGTAGTAGCCCGGAGGACCTGGATAGTGCTCGAGGTGTTGTGCGTGTGCTGCCGGTCCAGCCGGCACGAGCTGTGTTCCGGGGGGCGGTGCTGTTGGTGGTGGTCCCTGTATGGACGTTGGTGGTGGCGGCGGTCCAGTCGCTTGGCCAGCACCACCAGACGCCGTCGGCGGTGGTGGTGGCGGTCCCTGTTCGTACAATTCGGCCGGTGGCGGCGCCGGATGACCAGGTTGATAGTAAGGGTAGCGTCGGTATGTAGAGGGTGGTGGTGGGGGCGGTCCCGCGCTCTGATAAACTTTGGTCGAAAAGTAGGGCTGATAGGCGGGCGGCGAATAGCAAACCGCTTCCACCGGATATGGTGTACAATAGTTGGCCGGATACGCTGTCGAGTAGTGCATCTGTGCGTGCATCGAGCGTGGATATGGTGAACTTTGATGTGCGGCGGCGGCCGCAGCAGCAGCAGCTGCGGCAGCAGCGGCGGCAGCTTGCTGATGAAGCTGTTGTTGATGCTGCTGTTGCTGCTGCACCTGCTGGTGCTGTGTGGTGGTTGGCGCGCCGCTATGTGCGACCGGCGGATAGCGGAAAGGTGTCAAGTCGCCGCCAGTGATGAGAACATCACTGTCTGCGCTGTTATCTGCGGCAGTGGCCGACGATGGTGGCTGTTGTTGGGCCGCGGCTGCGAGCTCCGGATCGGAGCTAAGCGGCGCAGGTATTTGTTGTGACTTCTTAATGGATGAGCCAGCGGCGGCGGAAGCGGAAACAGCACCTGCAGCCAAAAGTGGCACATTAGGAGGCGGCGGTGGTGCGGCGGCTAAGGGCGGTAGAACGTGTGGTGAGATCAATGGACCGGCAGGTTGGTAATAGCCTGGAAAGAAACAAGAATAATAAGGAATCAGAAAAATGTAAAGGAAATGAAGGAAAGAAAAAAGCTACATAAATCTAAAGAAGCTGCTTAAAGCGTATGCTGACATTTCTTAAATAAAAATCTGACTTGCGTGAAAAACAGACCAAAAGGATCTGCCGAGTTCTTGGCCAGCATGTACGAGTCTAATTTATAGCCGTTAATCTGCAAAATGTGGCCATGAGCTTGTGCGCAGTGCTTTGGAAAATATTGTCGCCGATCGATTGCCCGTTACGTTGCGCAGCTAGCGGCCGCATTTACAAACATGCACACATGCATACATACATATGTATGTAAATATATTTATATATTCACTTGCCGCTGTTTTTCTTTTAAAATACAGTGTGCGCTTTCGAAAGCAAGACGCAGAGCGAGAAAATGAGAGGAGAAAGAAAAAAACCAAAACGTCTATTTATCGAGTATTTGATCTGCTCACAGTTGCAGTGGCTGCAATTGTTTTTGTACTTCTTTTAAATGTTTTTTTTTGCCTGCCTATATTGTTGTTAAACTTGTTTGGTTGTTACTGTTGCTGTATTGCCGTTATAAGCAAGAAAGCAAACAGCGCCTTACGTAAATCCCGCCATTACGTTGCTGTTGGCTTCGCTGCTGCAGCTGCAGCTCCTATTGACAGCGTGCGCGCTTCCATTGGCCATTGCAGCTAGTCGTAAGTGTTATTCGGTTAGTTGATCGGACGATCGGCAAAAGGAGTGATTTTCGTATAACCGTAGCTGTGACGGTTGATTTTGTTGCTAGCTGTGGTTGTTTTTGTCTTTTTACTTTTCCTACAACTGCACACAGTTGACAGCACAGCCACAGAAACAGCCTACCGGCAACAATGTTGCAGCGCACAAGCGACAACAAGCAATAGCAACAACAACAATCATAAAGGTAAAGCGCCTAACAAAGCTATAAATTTAAATGTGAAAATTTCCTGGTTGAGTTTTTTTCTTTAATTTTTTCCACTTCATGTGGCTTTTCGCCGTTTTACTTGCTGTAACTTGCGGTTAGCTGAGTTTTATTTTTAGTGTGGAAATTTGACATTTTGACTTTTTAGTCGTTAAGCGACAAAAGGTCAGCGAGCGAGGCATTTGACAAGCATAAATTGGGAAAATCAATTGCGACTTGTGAATAAGCGCACAAAGTAAGTAAATGAGGAACAGCAATCGATTTATTAAATTAAAGTAAATCATACTATTTATGTATATCTAAGTATTTGAAAGTCTATAGTAACGATGCGTAATTTAGTGTTGTTACAAATGTCTTTTGAATTTTTAATTTCGAGTGGCTTAAGCACTGAGATTGTTTGTTGTCCTGCTTGAAGTAGTGCTGGGCAACTTTTTCTTGCTGAAAAACTTGCTTGTAGCTACTTTGGCAGTTGCACCTGCAATGGAGTGATTCAATCGATAAATCGGCTGAGTACATTATTCAATCAAGTGTATTAAATTGGGTTTGGGCAAGGGTAGACATTCGGTCTGTTCGATGAGTGCACTAAAAGTGTAGAACAGCGTAGAGCAGAACAGTATTCTGATATTTTGCGCAAGAAACGCTGGCAGCCATTCGCGCGGTAATAGGAAAGCCGAAATTGCCCGGCATTGGTTTAGTGCAAGAGAACTCTTTTTTTTTACACCTGGACGTTCTGATTTGTCCCCTTTAATTATTAGGTTACGCCTTAGCCCAGTCCTACCACAGAGGACTCGCATAGACTCAATGATCTTTGTGGCAACACAGCAAGGTCTTTGAGAAGTATTTCTATAAATTTTCATATAAAATTTTCATATAAAATTTGGGGAGATTTACACAATCCAACATGGGTGACAACTTGGCTTGAGGCGAATATAACTGTAAGAAATCAAAACCAACCAAATGTGTGTCGAGCGGGTTTTTAAGCGTTTATACGATCGAAATAGCCATCACACCATGTTGTCACACATGTCTAATCGTGTAAGCCCCGCTCTTAGTTTTTTATAAATATCTCTGACGTTCAATTCTCGTTCTGCGTTATTGCGAAGTGATAAAAATAACACCTTTTCACCGCATTTATTTCGGTGTTAATTTTATACTTTTTACTTCTCTTCACGATAACGCAGAACGGGAATTGACCCTCTGGTTAAAAATCGACTATTCGGCTATTTGGTGAGTCGACTAGTCGATTAGCAACTTTTTTTTTGGTTGATAGTCGAATAGTAATTATTGATTAACCGCTAGATTTCGACTAACTGTTCACTTTCGACTAACAGCTCACTATCGAGTACTCTGAAAATCGACTAACCGAAATTATTCGATTAAATTAATTTTAAATTATTATTGTTTTTACCATAAATGTATTTTTATTAGCGCGGTTGGGGGGTTTTCCATGAGGATAAGTATTAAAAAAAAAAAATTAAAAAATTTTACTAAAAGAAACTAACGAAAAATTGAAAATGAACGGATAGTCGACTCGTTTTTTGTGAACGGTTAGTTGAAAAAGTCGAAAGAAAACGGTTAGTTATTTGAGTGAAAATGATTATTTTTTTAAACAACTTTTGCTATTCGACTAACCGATTAGTCGACTAGTCGACTAACAAGAGCTCTAGTTTCATGGCCTATTCTTTGTCAAAATTTTAAGTGACTATTGTTAGGGAATACGTATATATGTGCCCGGCTGCTTGTAACCCAAACAAGCCGTAATTTGCTATCTGCATTAGCGATTGTTCATCTCCTGCGATAGATCTCCGGAGAAGAATCGCTTGTGGAGACCACTCATCACATTCGCAGGCGATCAACTTTCAAATAGTTAGTTACACAGCTTGTTTTAACTTTGAATTTTGATGAAGTTGTGTTTTTCTATAATATATCGCCGCCCGTATGCCAGAAACATAAATGTGTAAAAAATTAAAATTTTGGGAAATCAAGTTTGAAAGTTTTTCTTTACGAGGTTTAACTCTACATTTATGCAATTGAAATTGTAAAATATGTGCTTTCCATGTACGCATGGTATTCTGGCTTTTGGTATAACATAAAACATCCAAAGGTTATCAAGTCAACACAATAACTCAAAACTGATAACTTTGCGCATTCATACTTCTGGCATGAGGATGACGACACATGCTCAAAACAACATGGAGTAAGCTATTTTTGTGAATACAGTAGTTTTCGTAAGCACTTTTTGAAATTAAACCTTCTGCGATGAAATGCCCAAGTACAAAAAATTATCTGCGATGAGCATTTCGCTCGCGATGAAACTGACAGATCTCCTGCGATGGCTATACGCTAATGGAGACAGCAAGTAATGCCAGAAGAGAACTGCTTATCGAACTGATGAGCCCAAAAAAGGTATTCTCAGTTAAATTAATTAAATCAATCGACATACATACATACATCAAATACCAGTTACTGTATTTTTTGGCGCGAGTTTCCGATTTCCCATTAGAAACAGCCTATTCCTCAGTTCTTGATTACAATGAATGTCGCATACTAAACATATGTAAATCGCTCTATCAGCTGATATTCTTGTAGTGATCTTTTATTAAAGATATTGTACCACCTGATTGACCAATAAATGACTTCGCTTATTTTGGAGGCCCGTTGTTAAAAAAAAGTAATAAACAAAGTACCAATAAGGTGTTTTTTTATGAAGCGCGTTGCCAGTTTTACTCGTGACTATTTACATATCAACAACAAACAACGCTATTTATATAATTGAACAAAACATTAGCTGTCAACGACAGCCGTTTGATGAGCTAATAATCAATTGACATTTTAATTTACACACTCATTATCTACAGCAACTATAAAATAGCCCACTTAGAAAACATCAGCGGGCGTAGTAAGCGTAAGCTAAACCCAACTCTACCACATTTTCGTGTTAAACGACAATGAATCGTCGTGACAACTGCCATTTTCAGTGCATATACAAACGAGACAAGTGTGACATGTCAAAATACACCTTTAATGACAGCTTATTGTAAACAGTACACCCATTGTGACTGGAAAAAAGGAGGAAAACAGAAACACACGTAAGCAAAAATGTATGCAAACAATAAAAGTCTTCATACACTGACGAACTCATTCATTTATGCATCACTCTCCTGTAATTATAAATTTATATCCTGTCACTTGCCGTTCACGTTTGTGCTGCGGTGTGTTTTTATTTTCATTTGTTTTTCATATACTCGCCTCCCCAAACACAAATGCACGCGCGCAAATCGAGCTTTAATTTCGTGCATTATTCACACGCTGTCGACATTTCAGGCTTGGGTTTGTTTCTCTACTTATTCAACACCCACCCAATATCATTCATCACCCACTGGGCCGCACTGTCAGACAGTTTATGCCAAAGTAGGGTCCCCATATGTATCGGCCATCAGCACATCCGACCAAGAGTGACAATGATCCCTAACAAGTGTTTGTAGGTAACAATGAAGCTAATCAATCGGTGTGTCTGTCAATCAATACCGCGAATAAATTTCAAATGGAATAAGAGTATGTGTGTAAAATATCTAGTAGGTACTTAAGGAGAATGATCACCGTGGAGTGTGAGTGCGCGTATATTGTGACACATCACGAAGTTCGTGATTCCGCATAATCTACTAAAGTACAACAGCTGCATTGTAAGTTGAAGTTTATTAAATATGCCCGTACTTGATATACATAAATGCGTTTACATATGTGGGTTGCTAAGTGAGGGAGGAGGGAGGGATGTCAGCTGGAACATAGAACTGCAAAGGTACATACAGTCCGCGACAAAAGCATAGCACATCAACATTTTATTTTTTTTAACATTTTTTAAGGTCACTATTTTTCATAAAAGTGTAGTTCAATATGTAATTAAAACCATATACTTACATTCAAATCTCAAACTATACAAAAACTAGAAAAATTTCACAAACTTTTCATTCCAATCCCAGGTTTTTAATTTGAATTTCTAGAAAAATGTTTGGTATACAGTTTTATAGCTTACTAAATTTTAGCAGAACAAATTGCAA